CACACACACACACACACACACACACACACACACACACACACACACACTATATTTAGCCTCCTGCTGCAGAAAGCTCATAAATGTTTTAAAGTCTGAAAGTCTTCCTCCTCCTCCTCCTCCTCCTCGCTCCGGCGGACATGTTGGATCTCCCTGTCACCGTGGCAACGCCTCCTGGTTTCCCAGACGATGACAGGATGTTACATCATGACCTCACACATGCCTGTGCTTCTGTACTTGTGAGGACATGTGTGAACATGACCTGATGGTTCTGGTTCTGTCTGACCCAAACCTACAGCTGACTCTCCTGATGGTTCTGGTTCCTGACTCTCCTGATGGTTCTGGTTCCTGACTGTCCTGATGGTTCTGGTTCCTGACTGTCCTGATGGTTCTGGTTCCTGACTGTCCTGATGGTTCTGGTTCCTGACTCTCCTGATGGTTCTGGTTCCTGACTCTCCTGATGGTTCTGGTTCCTGAGTGTCCTGATGGACCCTGAACGCAGCACGTGCACTTCACATCCATCAGAAACTTCAGTTTCATATTTTACAGGAAGTTGAAGAAGAGCTCTGCTCCTCTGAGATCTTCTTTTAATTAAATCCAAACTTCTTCACCTTCAATTAACCCTGAATCGACCAATCAGGACTTTAATCTGCTTCAGGTTCAGCTGGAAGCCGTCACCTCGTTAATCGGCCCCGCCCCCACACCTCTGAGGAACAGGAAGTGCCAAACCTTTAATTAACGAGTGAAGCAGTGTCTCCAGTCACCTGACCTCCGACGTTAAACTTCAAACATTTCACTCATGTCAGGAAGTAGACCAAGCCAGARGCTGTGGTGACTGAATCTGTTCTAACATGTAGTCCAGCAAATAGACAGGTCCCAGCAGAAGAACATTTTGAAAGTTTTTCTGGTTTCTATAAGATCAGGATTATTATATAAAAACAGAAAAATATTAGAATCACATCTGACAGGAAGAAAAAACGTTTTACAGGAGTTTATTTTTCTTCAGAGAATAATTAGCGTCATGATGAAGTCAGACATAAATAAATCGTTTGTGTCACAGAGTAAATATTACAGATTTAAACTTTACAAACCAAACTGATCTGAGCTCAGCAGCTGAATGTCATAAACACTTTCAACATTTTGTTTAGAGTTCTTTTTAAGCTTTTCTGATTGCTTAAAGCTGCAAAATAACTGTTTTTTTTCTTTTTGTGAAGATTTAAAATGAAGGAAATACATTCTGCAACAAACAAACAAAAACAAAGCAGGTAAATAAAACTTAAAGCACAACGTCCATTCCAAGTGTTCAGTCCAGGATATAGTCCCAACCTTGTCAGCAGAAGATGACCAAGAGCAGGTCTTATCCAGGTAGTAGTCAGGGACCAGGTGGCAAACAGGAAGTGTTTGTTTTCACTTAATGTCCAAAGTTTAAGAGTTTTAATAAAGAAATCAGAAACGTGTTAATGTTTTTACCAAGCAGGAATTAGACCCAGCCTGGCTGAAAAACAACAAGAATAAAATATTTTCTGTTGCACAAAATCAAGATATAAACACCGCAATCCAGAACATAGACAGAGCCCTGCACACAGCTGCCAGCACTGAAAGAAACTGAACAAAATGTGGTGTAAATGTTTACTTTTCACAGAAGACTGAAGGTAAACAAGTCTCTACTTTAAAACTAATTTCATGTTTCATTTTGTAGTTTAAAATMTAGAAAAACAACCGTCTTTAAAGTGCCAGGTAGTCTTTAAATCTTTAAATCCAGAAAATAGTCTGAGCCTTAAATCATTGGCCAACTTTATCCTGGTTTAATGACTCGAACTTCAGTCCCAAAACCAACTTCATTAACTCGAGATAACAAGTCATTAATTCGAGATAACAAGTCATTAACTTGAGATAACAAGTCATTAACTTGAGATAACAAGTCATTATCTAGACGAAAGTTAACTCGAGCTAACAAGTTATTACCTTGAGATAACAAGTTATTAACTTGAGGTAAGTCATTAACTTGAGATGTCATTAGGTCGAGGTAACAAGTCATTAACTAAAGATAAATTAACTTGAGGTAACAAGTCAATAACGTGAGATAAGTCATTAACTTGAGATATCAAGTCATTAACTCCAGGTAACAAGTCATTATCTTGAGGTAACAAGTTATTAACTTGAGGTAAGTCATTAACTTGAGATAACAAGTCATTAACTCCAGGTAACAAGTCATTAACTTGAGTTAAGTCATTAACTCTGGGTAACAAGTCATTAACTAGAGATAAGAAGTCATTAACTAGAGGTAACAAGTCATGAACTAGAGATAACAAGTCATTAACTCTAGGTAACAAGTCATTAACTCTAGGTAACATGTCATTAACTAGAGGTAACAAGTCATTAACTCAAGGTAACAAGTCATCAACTCCAGGTAACAAGTCATTAACTAGAGATAACAAGTCATTATCTAGACGAAAGTTAACTCGAGCTAACAAGTTATTACCTTGAGATGACAAGTTATTAACTTGAGATAAGTCATTAAGTCGAGGTAACAAGTCATTAACTAAAGATAAATTAACTTGAGGTAACAAGTCAATAACTTGAGATAAGTCATTAACTTGAGGTAACAAGTCATTAACTAGAGGTAACAAGTCATTACCTTGAGACATGTACATAAATGTCCTCTCCAGGCTTCTGTACTTGTGTGTTTTCAGGTCTCTCTCTGGTTTTAACGAGTCATTTATGAAACAGGTCAGGCTGAAGGTTTTGTCAGCTGTTCCAGATAAAACGAACACAAACAAACAGGTCAGTCAAGTCAGACTTGTGAAACGTAAAGTTTCTGTGTGAAGGCTTCTGTAGGACCAGAACAACCTGCTGCATCGATCATTTATCAGGTTTCCATGTTTTAGTGAAACAAACAAACTGTAACCATGGCAACAGATGTTGACTCTGATAAACTGTTAACTTGACTAAAACTTTACCTGATGAATGATGTCATTTTACAGAGAAGCTCTCTGATTGGTTAAAAACTGACCAACAGGTTAAAAGTTTTTAATTCCAGCCAGGCTCTGTTTCAGATGACTTTCAGGAAGTAGTCTGGCCACAACAGTTCCTCCAACAGAAAACTACAGGGTCAGTTGTGAGCCATGCACCAGGGTGTAGACAGATCCCATCAAACATTCATTTGAAGACACAGAAAACAAAGATTTACGGTCACTTACAAAGTGAGTTTCCAGATCATAGCCAGGACTCAGAGATGAATGGTGCAGTCTAATTACAGTACATTCAACAGCAATAATGAATTGAGTCCAACCGTTTCACTGAGGTTCTGTTTCCTCCTCAGGTTCTCCCTCATCTGTAAAACTTACCTCACCTCATGCACAAACTGATGGACAAAATTCAGAATTTAGTCATAGCCACAAAGCTGCCCAGGCTGCAGGCAGTAGTCAGAGCCCACAGCACTTCTGAATGCAGGGGGGGTGGGGGGGTGAGAGGAGGAAGGAAGCGAGCAGAATGAATCCAGGTGTTAGTCTCATCCCGAACCAGCTAGACTGCTGCTGTCTTTACTGAGACGGACTAATTCCTGGGAAAGAAGCTCCAAGTCCTGCAGGGAAACAGAGAGATGGACGGTAGTTTGTACCGTGTGTGTGTGTGTGTGTGTGTGTGTGTGTGTGTGTGTGGACTACATTACCCAGAACACCTGATATGTCCACCCTCTGAGGATGTTTTATGAAAAATGTAACTTTGAATTTTTTTTAATTTATATTTAAGTTTCTGAAGCTACAACAAACTAGTATCAGATTTCTGTGTTCAAACCTTGGATCAGAACATTTAGACACTGGACCAGTCCTGGGGTTACCTTCTGGAGGTGCATGTTCTTGGTCAACTGTTCCTCCAGCATGTTCTGCAGCTTCTTGTTCATCTCTCTCAGGTTCTCGTCTCCTGGTTTCACCAGATCTCTGAGGACAGAACCGAGACCTCCTCTGTCTCCCTGAGATCCTCCGTGACCTCCGACCGCGCTGACAGACACATCTGATGAAACACAAGATGACCTGTAACAACTGACTCACATCAAATGACTCACATCAACTGACTCACATCAACTGACTCACATCAACTGACTCATTACATGACTCATCAAATGACTCACTTCAAATGACTCATTACATGACTCACATCAAGTGACTCATTACATGACTCATCAAATGACTCATCAAATGACTCACTTCAAATGACTCATCAAATGACTCACATCAAATGACTCACATAAACTGACTCATTACATGACTCACATCAACTGACTCACATCAACTGACTCACATCAACTGACTCATTACATGACTCACATCAACTGACTCATTACATGACTCACATCATATGACTCACATCAACTGACTCATTACATGACTCACATCAACTGACTCACATCAACTGACTCATTACATGACTCACATCAACTGACTCACATCAACTGACTCACATCAACTGACTCATTACATGACTCACATCA